TTAAGAATAATGATGTATATTGTCACCATTTTACTTTGAGCATATACAGAGAACGGTCTAATAAAGAACATATAAGGAAATTCATCAACTAATAAAATTATGTCTCTTAAATGTTTATAATAATAGCAAGAAGAATATAGAGTATCCATAATTAAGGCAACAAAAAGTATAAATGTGTGTAAAATCTTCACTTGTGAAAAAGAATGCCAAATAATTCCTAAAGCATATGACATTTCTTCTTTGCTACATATTCATGGGAATTTTGTTAGAGATATTAAATTTAAATTGCATTTTCAGTTAACAGTGGCAAAATTGTCTAAGAATAAGTTGTCTTTATTGCTTTAATCTAAATTACGTAAGAAGTAACCCTATCCTGGAAAAGTGCTCTCAGCCAGAGAAGGAAGATTAATACTTGAATGACAAAGGAAAACCAATACTGTTTCAAGGATGAGAGAAGGAGTCTGCTAACCAGAATCTGGGGAGACAGTGAGATTTAAAAGAAGAAAAAAGTCATAAGGAGTTATTTCTCTGTCAGGCTGAAAAATTAACAAAATTATCCTGTTGGTAATTTATACTCTGATTTTGAATATTCCTTGCCAAGTGGCTTCTTACTAAGTTGGCCAGGCCAAACCTGGAAATTCAATCCCAGTAGGCAGGGGTGTTTTGGTAAATGGTTCTCTCAGGGGAAAAAAAAAAAGATACATTTTTTCTATCACTTTCTTAAGTCTAGAAGTCAACAAGACAGTAAGTCAAGTGCTAATTTCTAGGGTCTGCTGATTTGTGTTGTATACATGCTTACAATGACAATTTAATAATTAGCTCTGGTGAGCTCCAGCATACCAGTAGGACACATATTAATGGATGAATTCTTTTTTCCCCTGTCCATGGCATCAACTAAATTCACTTCCATACCAATCAGTGCTGGACACTGGAATTACAAAGCTAAAAACAAATTAGTGCCTGTGATGAGTGAGCTTACATTCTACTAAAAGGAATACACATTCAGAGATAACTTAATACAAGATACACACAAAACATACATATAAAGTGATGCCAAAGAGCTCCTAAGGTAAAGCACTGAAAGAAATTAAAGAATCAGCAAAAGATGTTTATGAGAGTAGACATTTGAGGTATGATTTAAAGGCATTTAAAGACAACATTCCAGGCATAGGGGACAGCCTGTGCACATGTACAGAAAGGAGCAAGAAGGGCAGTTTTCCTAGACTATCTAGTGTGTAAATTGGAGCAATGCAGAATCAGCCTGGAAAGATATGACTCTAGACAAACTGTTCAGAGATTTAAATATCAAAGAATTTGTGTTTTATCCTAGAGGCAATGGGAGCCAGTGGGGTTTTTAGAGCAGGAGAGTAACATGATTAGGTCTTAGGTTTAGGGAACAGTAATTTGATAGATGTGTTGTAGTTGAATTTGGAGATGGCCTGGGAGATAGACTGGGTATCTGAAGACCAATTAGGGGAGTTTTGTAATATGAATCCAGGTAAAAGATAATGAGGACCTGAAGTATTGTAGTTAGTGGAAGAGATACAGGAGATGTTATTTATGCAAAATCAGCAAGCATTAGTGACTAGTTTGATATTGGTAGTTAATGAGAATGAAGATTTGAAGATGATCCCTAGCCTGCAAACTTATGTGACTAAGAGGATGGTGCTACCTCTGACAGAAACAGAGCGATTAAAAGAAGAGGAGAATTTGGGGCAACTCAAAGGTATTGGAAAGTGTATGTCACAGGTTAATTACAAGGTCAAGATTTGAAATGGAGAGAAGTAGACTAGAGCAGGGGTGATGGTCTGGGAAATTAAGGAGGAGTGAAATGACTAGAAGTTTCTGTAATGATAGAGAATAGATAGACTGAGGCATGGCAAGAGATGGAAGGATAGGAGGTAATGATCAGAATTCAGAATAATGGATTGTAGAATTGAAACACTTGTGAGTTACCAAGGCTTTGATCATTCTTTGATGTGATTGAGGCTGAGTGAAAGTGCAGTCCATGAGAATTGGAGAGGAGATACTGAGAAATAAGAATATTTGAAGGGAAATCAGCATGTAAATTGAAGTCCCCAAGTATAAATGTGTGTGAGGGTAGGAAGAAAGAACTCAATCACTATGGCTCCAAATGAAATCGTTACCCAAGTAAAGTAGCAATAGCCACAGTTTCTAAAGTGTGTTTCATTCGTTTATAGTGTCATTTACAAAGTAGTATGCTGGAGCTCACTTCTACTGGCTCTCTGGAGCCAATTGTTAAATTTTTGGTATGAGCATTTACACCTTGGAAATTAGCAAATGCTATAAATCAGGGCTTGATTTATTGCTGATTGTCTAGACTTAAGAAACTGATGGAGAAAATATTAATAATGCAGATTAAACTTCAAATGGTATGTCCTGTGTAAAAAAAAAATTAATTTTTTTCCCCCAGAGAGCTGGGTGTTAAATAATTGTAAGCATACCCCCTAGGTCTACATAACTGCTGTCCACTGAATGAATAAGAATCAGATGTGAAAAGTTCTGCATTTTGCATCCTGGGAACCACAGTTAAAGAGATAATGTCCATAACTAGAAAAAAAATATCAAAATACGCACTCAAAGTGTTTCAAACAAAATTCTTGGAAGATATCATTTGCTCTTAATGTCATAATCTAGAATTAGGAGTTATGGAAAGTATAATTCCTTTGAAGTGTTTCCTTTATCACGAAAAGTTATTTGGAGCACTCTAATTCATTTACTTTTTTGAATTGAAAAAAAAAAATCAAGTCACACATCATTCCTCACAGGGTTGTTGTGAGGATCAAATGAGATGATATTTGTAAAGGACTCAGCACAGAGCCTGCAACTATATAAATGATTATTCCCTTTCACAATAGGAATTTCACAGTTTCACAAATCATTTGGTTTTGTGGTCTGAATATATGTCTGTATATGGTAAAATAGATAATTATTTTAAATATTGTATATATAAAGTATCATATATTTTACTGTATCATATATTAGTATAATGTTATAATATAATATTAACATATTTTATAATATATACAATATTACTTTGAAATAAAAATGTTCATCCTACCTTAATTTTCTTTGCTTTGTGGCTAAAACAAGTTAGGCCATTTGAAGTACTTTTACATTTCGTTCCTTCTAGTATTTTACTTTAAAAAAGAAATAATACTTTTATGAACAGTATTTTAAAGCTATGTCTCTTAAAAGATATTAATATATATAACACTTTAAAAATAAAACTTTATTTGCAATGTTTAAAAGACAAATTATATATTCAAATTTTAATATATTAGGTCATAAAATTATAATTTCAGAGTTATCTTTATTGAAATACTGAAAGTGTCTGACAGTATTAGGTTATTAACAGATATGTGAAGTAAAGTGTACATGTTTCAACATGTATTTTAAAATTATAATTCATGTTAACATTTTCTATGAAAATGCTTGAGGCCTAAATTCTTTATTTGCCTCAAAATCTAACTCAATAACTGACTCATTACTCATTTCTTACATATCATTGAACGTAACATTCTGATGGGTCATATTAACATATCTGCATGGAAACTGGAAGAAGAAAAAAGTGTCTATGGTCATAAAGGGTCTAAGTCATTCTACAATACTTCAAGGACCTACACATTCCTCAGTGTTGCCATACAATTCTCCATTTGCCTTTGTCTCCGCAATCACTTTGTACCTTAGTAAATTATTTGTGAGTTGCCACCCCCCTCCAAAAATCAACTGGTAGCCTAACTTCTCAAAATAAGCCTCTGCTAATGTGGCTAGTCTGGTCGGGTGTTGTCCTTTATGCTCAAGGAGGACCAAAATGGCATTACTATGTTGGGGTCAAAAAATGGCTAGGATACTCTGTAGATGAGAGACATGGCCATAGAGCTGCGCCAGAAGTCTTTCCAATAAAAAGCATGTGCTCAGTTGGCATAACTTTCAAGGGCCCAGAATATACTTCAGAACACAATGAAATACAAAAGGAACACCTTAATGAAGGTGTCTATGGCATATTTGTCAAAATTACCAGTAAGTCAAGTCAACAGGCATTTATTAAGTATCCGCTATGAGCCAGTGACTGTGCTAAGCATTAGGGATACAAAGAAGGGGGGGGGGAATTCCTGATCCTAAGGATCTTATAGTCTAATGAGAAGACAACATGTAAGTATATGCTAATAAAATATGTGCAGAATAAATCGGACATAGTCACAAAGATTAAGGAAGACTAGCAAAGGCATCTTACAGAAAATGGAACCTTAGCTGAGATTTGAAGGAAACCTAGCAGGTAGACATGAAGAGGAAGAGGATTCCAGGTGTTGGGGACAGCCAATGAAAATGCCCAAGGTCTGGGGCAGCTAGGTGGCACAGTGAATAGAGCACCGGCCCTGAAGTCAGGAGGACCTGAGTTCAAATCCAGCCTCAGACCAAACACTTGACACTTACTAGCTGTGTGACCCTGGGCAAGTCACTTAACCCTGATTGCCTCACAAAAAAAAATTAAAAAAAAAAAAAAGAAAATGCCCAAGGTCAAGAGATGGAATGTCTTGGCCTAGGAACAACCCCCAAAGGGGACATGTTATGAGGGCTTGAAAAGATAAAGAATTTTGTACTTCATCTTGGAGAAAATAAAAAGTCACAAGTATATGCACACCTATTAATGCTTTCTGTCACAATAAATGGCATTTTGTTCTATATTTTTTTTTACTTTGAGTTGCTGGTGAATTGGGGTAGGATGTAAAAATTCCATCCTGGATCTTCTTTAATAGACCAGAAGCTGAAGGGATTGGCATTTAGAAGTTATTGCAATCTCATTAGTTCATACTCATGTTTAGAGAAGAAAAACATAAAAATGACTTTTCCTGTTAACTGCCTTCCAGAGCTCCTCTTTTTACTTTTCAACTTTTTTTTTTGCCATGTTTAGTTTCTTATTCAATTTCCTTCATAGTCTCTCTAACTTAGTTTTGTGTTTCCTTTAATTCATTCAGGTACGTGTATTCACATTTTCAGTTGGTCAGCATAATTATGACAGAGGACCAATACAATGGATGGCCTGTGAAAACAAAGGTAACTGATCTATTTTTTTGAGTGTACATAGTGTACAAATATATAATAACACTGTTTATCTAGATGGGACCCTTAGAGAGGGTATCTAGTCCAACACCTTCATTTTACAGATAAAGAAATTGAGGTCCAGAGAGATTTTTGACCCATCCAATGTTACACAGGAACTGATCATCATAGGTGGGATTTGAACCCATCCCCTTACTCCATAAGCAAGTTTTTTTACTTTATTTGTGCTGCTTTGGCAGCCTGGTGAAGCTTATGTACCTCTTCTAAAATTTGAGCTTTTAAATAATTGAAGGAAATGCTAAATTTCAGTTAGACGTTAGTGAAAATAAAAATGTCATATTTTTCCAACTAAATTCATTGACCACCCCCCACCAAAAAAAAAAAAAACATCCACAGGCTAAGAACTCCTTTCTCCGTTAGAACTAGTGTTCTTTCCATTGTACCACACTGATTCATAATGTATTTCATAAGAGGATACCTTCTACAGTGGTACAGTGGGAGGTTTGCAGGGTTCTATATACTCTAATTTTGGAAAGAATTCAAAACGTAAGTCTACCTTGAATTACTGCATTGAGATAAACTTAAGACTCTAAGTATATCTTTTGAGAAATCAAAAGTAAACCCAGATCTACGATAGCAGTTCAAGCAAACATTAGGATAATTCAATCCCGGGTCCTTCTCTTCTACTTGAAATATCAGTATGATTTTCATTTTTTAAACTGCATTTTCTTAGTTCAGAGCTGGTCTACATTAAGAATGCAGAACCACCATGCATTCAGACAGTTCTGAAGAAATGTGAATTGAATAGAACTGAAATGAGAGAATGCCAAACTGGTTTAAAAAAAATACAGCAGTAGTATAAGCAGAGTGAGTTAAAAATTGGTGAGTCTTTCTACTAAAAGAAATTTTAAATTGCTACTTTACATTTTTCCCCTGACACCATTAAAGCTATTAACTTTTTTTCTCAAAAATCATTGCTTTATCTATTCAAATGAAAGTATGTAACTACACAGTGTTACTCTATGGTTCAGATATCAGTAGGGACTAAAACTAGGAATTCTAGACTGACCCCTTCTACCAATGGAAGATGGAACTCTTTCTGCAACCTATAATCTTAGAGACTTGTGGAGAACTCTCATAGGTTATGATTTGTCTAATGTCATATAGTTACTATGCGTCAGAAGTAGAATTTGAATGCATGTCTTCAAGAAAAATGTGATGTGAATTGATTAGTTTTAATTTTTTGGTTTAATACTTAGAGTATCATAAACATACTGTATTTATTATTGAGATTGACTTTAAGCAAATAATTACACTAGACATTAATCAATTTCAAATAAATGCTGATCACATGATTTTGTTTCTCCTCTGGGGGCATTCATTTGGATTATACTATAGTTTCCTTACTGCTTTGAACAGATATATAAAAATTCATTTTATATCTCTTTAAAACAGGTTAAGGGGTCTGACATAATGTCCATTATTTACATTTTACTATCATTCTCTTTTGGTAATAATTCATTGCTTTTCAAAAATTAGAGTATTTTGGTGTTCTACTTTGTACTCCACCAACCAGAAATGAGCCTATAACTACAAGATATGTGTTTCCTTAATTTTTGGTAAAACAGTGTATCTTTTGTTTATTTCAGGTTATTATTATGAAATTCCATCTATTGGAGCTATAAGGATCAATACTCAGGTAGGACTGTAATCTCAAACTGATTTTCAGAAGAACAAAATGTTATTTTATATAAAAATTTAAAAAGCATCAGAGGAAGAAAATACATCAGAAAATGAAGTAACAAAGTTTATCCTCATATAAAAAAGTACACTTAAAGTTATGGGCACTTTTTCATTTATGAGATAATTATTTTTTTCTCTTTCAATATTTGCTACATATATCACAACCCAAGTAAAACATGATGCAAATTTCTTTTTATCTTTATAATATAAATGGAGTGTAGACAAGAAATCCAATGAAAGTTCACTGAAATTTCAACTATATATTTTTATAATTCATAATTTATATTTATAAAATTTAAAACTTTATTCTAGTTTTTTGCAAAGATTTAGATTGTGACTTTGAATATGAAGGGGTATGTGTATATATGTATATATGCAACAGAGTCATACATATACACACATATATGTGATAGAACAAGAAACATTAATGGCCAAATTACATATAGACTCTAGATAGAGCTGTGGTCATAAGATGATACAACCCTAAAATACTTTAAAAGCAATTGAATTCACCCCATTCATTTTATAGATTAGGAAAGTGAGGCAAAGAAAAGTTTAGCAACTTGGTCAGAATCACAAATGTACTATGTTTATGAGATACAATTGAATCCAAGTTTCCTGACTCCGTTACTATACTATGTTTTGGTGTCAGTCATAGAATTTTAGACACAGAAGAGATCTCATTTGCCATCTAATCCAACCCATACCCAAAAGGAATCCTCACCATGACATATATGACATTTGACAATTAATCATGTAGCCTCTTTTGAAAACCTCCAATGAGACAAAACTCACTCCGTAACAAGAAAGACCATTAGAATTTTGGAGAGAACTAATTATTTTTTTCCTGGTGAAAATACTGTTGCTTACTCTTTGTAACATTCCATATAGCAACGCTAACCTACCCTAGAGTCAGGATAGGAGAGACATCTCACAATGGTTCTGCTGGTTGTGATTAACACAGGAATCTCCCAGATGTCTGTGGTACACTCTGCAGCATCTGGGGCACCTTCTGTCATATACAGGGCTCCTAGAAAAGCTCTTCCAAGTTTATGGTACTCTCTGGGTCCACATATACTCACATTCATAACTCATAAACCCCATGTTAATCTGTTTATTTTTCTAGGCAGCAAAGGGACCCAATCAGTTCAACACAGAAGTTTTTAATGAAATAGCACAGTAAAGGGAATAGCAAGTTGAACATTTTCTCCCATAAACCAGTGGTATACCCTTCCACAAATATAGATACCATCAAGGGAAAGAGCACATCCAGTTAAGGAACACAGGTGGCAGGGCATGGACATTGGGATCATGTGTGACTTGAAAACACATGCACAGAAGCAACTCACTCCTCCTATGCTGCTAAGTTGCCAGTTTTCTCTGGTGGTGCCACTGTGTTGCTCCTACTGTGCTTTGTCTCCACTGTCTCTGCCAGGTGGTACTGTTGCTCTAATTCTTACAGCTATGTCTCATGGCCACAAGATGTGGTAGTGGAGTGTCTCTCATGTTCCAGCTCATGGCTTCAAGTTCAGTCATACAGGGTCATTCGTTCTAAAGAGGAATGGGTTCTATGTGGTAGAGAAGATAAAGCCCTGGAGCCAGAGAAGCTGGGTTCAAATCCTTCCTCTGACATTAATTACTTTTGCGAATGTGAACAGATCGCTTAACCTTCTAGTGTTCCAGTTTCCTCATCTATAAGGTGATAGTATTAGATTAGAAAGCTTCTGTCTGAAGTCACTTCTAGTGTCTCAGTTTCCTCATATAAAAGAGGAGGGGGTGTAAGAATAGCACCTATCTCACAGGATTGTTGTAAGCATCTATTGAGATAACAGATGTAAAATACTTGGTAAACCTTAAAGCTCTATATAAATGCTAGCTGTTGTTCTTACTACTGTGTAATTAAATAGGTTTCAACTGTGGGTGTTATTCAACTACACTAAGTATAGAAATTGCAAAAAAAATTTAAAAAAAAGATCAATGTTCTCTGTGTCTAAGCAAGTTGGAAAGAAAGGAAAAAAGATTAAAGAGAATAGTTGTTTTGATGTTTTTTTTTTAAAATCAAATCATGTAGCTCTGGGATTCATTTGTATTATATATAAAATGAATAGATTAGGGGTTTTTAATCCAGGATGTGTGAACTTGGTTCTTTATATATTTTGATAACTGCATTTCAATATGACTGATTTCTTTTGTAATCTTTTGTATTTTCTTTCATACCTTTAAAAACATTATTCCAAGAAGGAGTCTGTAGGCTTCACCATTTTGCTAAAGGGCTCTGTGAAAAAAGATGAGGAATCCCTGGACTAAATGAACTTTCAGGTCCATTCTAGCTCCAAATTTGTTTAATTCTAACTTTTGAGATAGGAGAGATTTAGCTCTCACCATCAATATAATAAAAATACATTCCCAATCAATTTGGTGGCTAAATGGTCAAAAGATATTTCAAGATAGGATGGGTACCCATAGATTTTCAGGAGGAAGATCTCCAAAGGGAGATTATGATTAAGTGAGAGTTTACTTTAAGAGAAAATGAAGTTAAGAAAAAGCAGACAAACCAAAACCTCATGTCTACAGCAAAATCCTAGATCAGTTATCTACTTGTAACATATCATAAGAAGATGGAACACCACGGTAATTTAAGTAATTATATATTATTTCTGCAAGAAATTTGACTGCTCATATGATTGCTGTTTAAAAAATCATAATCTATATTATTACAGAATGAAAGTCTACATTTTTAAAATAACATTGAATTTGTTTAAAATGTAAACACTGACTACATTCAGTGCTGAAATAGAACAGCAGCTGCATTTGAATCTACTGTGGAGATCTGGCGTAGTATTTCATTTATTTGTTGATATGTTTAAATGCACTTTTGAATTTCAGCCAATCTCTGATATGAAAGCAGACTTGGGCTTGCTTTATTTATTTATTTTTAAAATCAGCACTCCATCCTGTAAATCGTAGTTTTTGGTAGTTCCTTTTATAAGACAAACGACAAGAAAAATACAAAAATATCTTCTTTTTATGCCTGAAGAGAATAACCAGATTGTTCCAGGATGAGAAATAGGGTGGAATATGTCACACAGAATGAGTTACATACTGCTGACTCAAAGCATGACAGAATATCACTTTGCATAGTCCATGGAAGGAATGAAGTGATCATTAAGATGTTTATTTTCCCCATTATTTCAGCTCACTTGATCTTTTTATGGATTTTTCCTTATTTTAATATACTTGTTGGTCATTTTTTATAATCACTTATCAAGTGATTGACTTTTCTATCATTTGAATAGGAATATTTGGATGTCCTGGGAAGACCAATGGTTTTGGCAGGAGATAAAGCCAAGCAAGTCCAGTGGACCAATGTATACTTGGATGCACTGGTAAGGTTTTCTGTTGTTTATGCAGAGATGAATGTCATAATTCTGGCATACTAATGATTTCTTTTTTTTTTAATGATAATCTGTGTTCAAGTTGTATTATATATTTTCTCCAGAGTAGCTTGTAATAAGCTTCTCTGAGATGTGGGGAAACAAGAAATGCAAGAAGAGGTCTTGGAAACAGATTTCTAGCAATACTTACAGGCCATCAGTTTCAGTCTGATAACCATAGCTGAACACTTGCTTAGCTGTTGTATTTTAAATATGATGTTTCTTTTACAGTCCATTGTGTTTTATGGAAGTAATATTAGTCACTGAACTCTTTCTCTTTCTCTGTCTCTCTCTGTGTGTGTCTCTCTCTCCCTTCTCTCTCTCTGTCTCTGTCTCTCTCTCATATACACACACACACATACACACATACACATTCTCTTTGTCTCTCTCCCCAGTCTCCTTCTTTCCCTTCCTCCTTTTCTCTCTCCCCTCTTCCCTCTCTTTTCTCTCCCTCTCTACCCTCTCCTATATTTCTCTGTCTTTCTGTCTCGGTCTCTCATTTTCTTTTCTTTTTTTTTGTTCAGTAATTTTTTTTTATTTATTTTTTTGTTTTCAACATTTACTTCCACAAGATTTTGAGTTCCAAATTTTCACCCCATCTCACCCCTCCCCCACCCAAAGATGGCATGCATTCTAAATACCCTTTCCCCTAGTCTGCCTTCCCTTCTATCTCTCGCCCCCTTCTCTTATCCCCTTCCCCTTCTATTTTCCTGTAGGGCAGGATGGATTTCTGTACTCCATTTCCTGTATTTCTTATTTCCCAGATGCATGTGAAAACATTTTTTTTAAACATGTGTTTTTAAACTTTGGATTCCAAATTTTCTCCCTTCCTCCCTCCCCACCCACCTTCATTGATAAGTCAAGCAACTAAATATAGGTTATATATGTGCAGTTATGCAAAACACTTCCATAGTAGACATGCTGTGAAAAACTAACTCTATTTCCCTTAATCCTATCCTGCCCATCCATTTATTCTATTCTTTCTTTTGACCCTGTCCCTCCTCAGAAGTATTTGATTCTGATTACTCCCTTTCCCAATCTGCCCTCCTCTCTGTCATTCCCCTACTCTCTTGTCCCCTTCCCCCCCCCATTTTACTGTAGGGTAAGACAGATTTCCACACCCAATTGAGTGTGTATGTTATTCCCTCCTTAAGTCAAATCCTATGAGAATAAGATTCACTCATTCCCTGTCACCTTCCCCCATTTCCCCTCCACTGTAAGAGCCTTTTCTTTTCTGTTTTCTTTTGGGTTTTTTTTTTGTGGGATAATTTGCCCCATTCTACCTCTCCCTTTCTCCTTCTCCTAGTATATTCCTCTCTCACCCCTTAATTTTATTCTCCAGATATGACCCCTTCATTTTCAACTCACCCTGTGCCCTCTATCTATCTATCTATATCTATATATACGTACATATAATTTTTTCCCCTCCAACTACCCTAATACTGACAAAGGTCATGTGAGTTACAAATATCATCTTTCCATGCAGGAATGTAAACAGTTCAACCTTAATAAGTCTCTTATGATTTTCTCTTTCCTGTTTACCGCTTCATGTTCTACTCGAGTCTTATATTTGAAAATCAAATTTTCTATTCAACTCTGGTCTTTTCATCAAGAATGCTTGAAAGTCCTCTATTTCACTGAATGACCATTTTTTCCCCTGCAGGATTATACTCAGTTTCGCTGGGTAGGTGATTCTTGGTTGTAATCCTATCTCCTTTGCTCTCTGGAATATTATATTTCATGCCCTGCGGTCCCTTAATGTAGAAGCAGCTAAATCTTGTGTTATCCTGATTGTGTTTCCACAATACTTGAATTGTTTCTTTCTGGCTGCTTGCAATATTTTCTCCTTGACCTGGGAACTCTGGAATTTGGCTACAATATTCCTAGGAGTTTTCCTTTGGGGATCTCTTTCAGGAGGAGATCAGTGGATTCTTTCAATTTCTATTTTGCCCTCTGGTTCTAAAATATCAGGACAGTTTTCCTTGATAATTTTTTGAAAAATTATTCTAGGCTCTTTTTTTTGATCATGGATTTCAGATAGTCCCATAATTTTTAAATTCTCTCTCCTGGATCTATTTTCCAGGTCAGTTGTTTTTCCAGTGAGATATTTCACATTGTTTTCTAATTTTTCATTCTTTTGGATTTGTTTTACACTGTTTTACAGTGTCAGTGTCTTGATTTCTCATAAAGTCACTAGCTTCCAATTGCTCTATTCTAATTTTTAAGGAAGTATTTTCTTCAGTAATCTTTTGGATTTCCTTTTCCATTTGGCCAATTTTGCTTTTTAGGGCATTCTTCTCCTCATTGGCTTTTTGCCCTCTTCTGCCATTTGGGTTAGGCTATTTTTTAAGGTGTTATTTTCTTCAGTATTTTTGGGGGGTCTCCTTTAGCAAGCTGTTGAGTTGTTTTTCATGATTTTCTTGCATCACTCTCAGTTTTTCCTCTACTTCTCTTACTTGCTTCTCAAAAATCCTTTTTGAGCTCTTTCAAGGCCTGGGACTGATTTATATTTTTCTTGGAGGCTTTTGATGTAGGAGCTTTGGTTTTGTTGTCTTCTTCTGGTTGCATGTTTTGATCTTCTTTGTCACCAAAGTAAGATAATATAGTCTGACTCTTTTTGCGCTGCTTGCTCATGATCCTGGCCAATTACTTGAATTTTAAACTCTTTGTTAAAGTAAGAGTCTGCTTCCAATGTGGAGAATGTACTGTCCCAAGCTTTGGGGGTTTGTACGGCTGTTTTCAGAGGTACTTCTAGGGACCTGTAAATTTTCAGTTCTTCCAAGGTGGTATGATAAGGGGTGAGGTGTTTTCTCTCCACCACCACAACAAGCTCCACCACACCAGCATTCCTCCTCACCCCAGTACTGCCCCTCAGAACTGTGACCCAGATCCAAGCGCCGGTAAAGCAAGAGATTCCTGCCTCAGCACTGGCAAAGAGATCCCTGCAATCCCCTCTGATCAATTCCCCCTCAGTCTGTGGGCCTGAAGCTCAGGAAAAAGCCGCTGCCCCAGGTCGCACTCGAGACTTGCGGCTGAGACCTAGCTCCTCTCTCACCTCAGTCACAGACTTTTCCCACTGACCTCCTAAGTTGTCTTTGGTGTTCAGGGGTTGAGAAGTTTGGAAACCACCACAGCTGCCCACGAATCAGTCCTCTGAGGCCTGCTCCAGGGTCACTGCGGCCTGCACGCCTACGCCAAACTGCGCTCCTCTCCCCGCCTGGCGCGATATACCTTTCCAATCACCCATCCGGGCTGTCTTTGGCTGGAAATTTGTTTCACTCTGTCTTTTTGTGGGTTCTGCTGCTTTAGAATTTGTTTAGAGCCATTTTTTTTTTACGTATTTGGAGGGCTTAAGACAGTCACTGCTTTCCCTCTGCCATCTTGGCTCCGCCTCCATACTAATGATTTCTACCTACTTTTCTGTTGCCTTTCTCCTCTCTGTGCCACCTCCCCATAAATGTGACTCTCAGAACCTGCTGTTCCCCCTTGTTTTGTTAATTCTCAGTGTGCTGGGGTTTTCCCCTTTATTTTGTAAAAATTATATCACAATTCTCAAGTTGATTAGAACTGTGGAAAAAATATGGTTATTTTACGTAAATAATTATGAATTTTTAGGATCATAGCATTTCACCAAAAACAATAGTGACAAATATTAACAAGAAATAATCTTATCTTTTTAATATTTGCACTGATTTAACTATTAAACACCAATACGTTCAAAGCACTGAGCTTTAGATACAAAGGTAAATAAGATATAACCTCTGAGCTTTTAGTTAATAATAAAACACAGAACAACATAAAATGACTACAAATATTTAGAAAATTTAGGGCAGAACAGAATATATTAACAGTATAAAAGAGGTATGAAGCTCTGTGGAGTTCTAAAGAACTGTAGGAGAGGTATAAAGTACTATGTAATTTTAAAGAGTAAAGAATTCATTATTACTTAGTATATAAGTATTTAATACATACTTGTTTATTAATTGAACCCAAATGTACATGCAAGGTAAAAATCTGTATTGTGATCACATGTGTTGTTTATTATTATTCTAAATTATTGTTCTCTGGGTTGGCTCTTCAGATGGTAGTATCCTTGGCAGGAAGCTGGTGTTGCATGCCTACAGATAATTCTTCAGCAGTCCTTGCCCTTCTTACCCTAGACTACCCTCCCCTTTTATACCTTCTCTGTAGCTCCTGCCGCACAGAAGTGCCACATTTGCAAAAAGTATCCCTGATTCTGTCCTAATAACAAAGGGCAGCCATGAAGCAGTACCTTTTAATATATTCCTGTATGTTTCTAATAAGAGTACAGTCTTTCCTTTATTGTTGGAATTTCAGGAAGTTGGTCCTTATTTTGTCCAGTTCTATATTTTCTAACATGCTCCCAGATTCTTGACTACTACCATTTTGATATATTTAACTTCCGCTTTTGGAATTCACCATCCCCTGAAGCAATATGGTTAACTTTTGGAAAGCTCTATAATTATTTCTCCTTATGTTGAATTGAAATTGGCCTTTTTATCACTTCAGCATTTTTGAATTTCCTAGTTTTTCATTTCAAGGCCAAGCAGAATAAATCTGTCTCTTCAAAATGGCAATTTTTCAAATATCTAAATATCCGAATACCACTATTTTTGGTCCCTTTAGGTATTCTCTTGCCCAGACTCAAACATCCCTTAATTTCTTCAGCTAATCCTCATGACATTGCCTCTAGCCTCTTCATCATCTGAGTCAACCTCTTGTAGATAAGGTCCTTCTTGGCAAAGTTCTTATTAAAATAGTGTGGTAGAAATGGTATCTGTTTTACATAAGCTGGAAAAGTTTTTCATAAAAGGGCCAGGGAGGCCATCCAGTTGGACTGCCGGACTAAGGCTTGAACTGGACTTTTGCTTCCTTGTTATTTGGAATATAAAAAGTCCTATATATGGGAAGCTGGGGTCCTGGCAGTTTAG